TAATGAGGGTTATAACAAAAATATAGCCTTGTGAATAATAAAGAAAACCGCGTCCATTGATAAATAAGAAGTGTTCAAAAAACCAACCACGTCCTATTTCTATTATTTGGTGTTTGAATTTCGATAGAAAACCTGTCCCGGGTTTTGAATCCAGTAAAGTAGGTACTGAGTCAAGGGTGATCACTRCCTGCAGGGTATCTCATACGTCCTCCGTGGTTCTTTTACCTCCCTCCATATTGGTTAGTAATGGTGAAGTGTGGAGAGACGGGACTGCCATTTAAAGTGGTCATACAAGCCACCAAAAATCTAGCCATTTGCAAATCAGTGTAATTACAAAGGCAACACCTTCTCCTCAGTTATTTTAAGACGCTGAGTGCTTGAACCACGACCTCCCGCACAACAGACCGACGCTCTTACCAACTGAGCTAACGGAAATTATCGGCGAAAATCAGTGGAAGAACATGTATTGCGATATTAATAGTTATTGTTTAAGTGTTTTATGCGAATTCCATATAGATTTGCGAAGTTATTTTTTTCCTATTAACCAATAGTGGGGCTTTATCTTTAGATATGGTGATCGCTGCCCTTTGTCTGTTGCTGGTCGTATCGTCGCCATTACATGGACGCTGTTTGGTGTTGTTCTGATTAGCATGATTGTTGGGAATATCGCGGCTTCTTTGACCACTGTTGCTGTAAATGAAGGCGGAAGTCTTTACGGAATGAAGGTTTGAAGAAGAAACTCTTGTCGTACGAAGTAATAAAAGACGCTTTGAGTTTTAATAAACATTCCATGTACCAAGTTGGATTCAATGACTTTGAAAATAGGATAAATKTACTCTCTCGCCTTAACCTATACCGGTCCCACTTGAATCCCAAAATTATCCAGAAAGCAGTACTAGACAGCTGAAAGCAAGTGTTTCCCAAGCAATATCTTTTAGTTTTAAACAAACCTCAGCTCGCAACCTCGTAAAATTCAAACCAGCTTGATTTTTCCGTGGTTGTGATGCTCTTTGGTACCATGTTCTTTAGAGTACATCTAGCATTATGTATTTGCATTTTTTCTCTCTGAATTAGTCGTTGTTTTCATTTCCCAGGCCGGAGCTTTGAAAAACTCTTTTGAATACCGATTTGGAATTCGAAGGAGTGCCAAGATGAATAAAGGTAAGGAGGACACTACGTATACTCGCACCATTTTTAAGCGGATGGTTATACATCAGTGTTGTTACCATGGCGGTAAAGCTGCACCAATCCGTCTAGATTTTGGATCCTTGTTGATCTCTGTGTCGACTCGATATCCCATTTTACCCTATAAGAAGAGGTTTGCTATCCCCTCATCCTTTCAAAATAAACTGATAAGAGGCCTCTTCTCTGGGTCTTCTAATATAGAACTTTCGTAAAGACCAACACACTAAGGACGAAGTTGAGTCGCGAATTACCATGTGTCAGCGGTTTATAACCAAAATGAACGCTGCTCCATAAAGTTTTTCGGTGGAAATCGGACCAACGTTACCATTGGCTACGGACCTGGCAAAGCTCATTCTTTACCTAATACTATTATACGGCCTACCTGAAAATCATATTAATGATTTTTGTAATATCTATGAATGTAGCTACCGTATTCAAATACAGATTGTTGTTGTTGTTCAACAGTGTTGCTGTTGTTGTTGTTGTTGTTGTTGTTGTTGTTGTTGAAACACGTAAACTAAAGAATTTTTGAAGCAAAAATATTTCATGTTATGTATGAAAAAATATATATTTATGTTTATGTTTATTGTTGTTATTCAGAGCGCGAATACGACTCCTATGATGAAATATACGACGACCTTGTAAACCAGCGCATCAAAGGAGCTCTGCTCGATTCTTTTGCTGTAGGAAGCAGGAGAGACCTGTTTGAGAAACCTTTTATCAGAATTAAAAGCATTTACGACTTAAACCTCGCTAGTGGGATCGTCACGGCTCGTAATTCAACCAAACTAAACAGGTGTTTGCGAAGGTTTACGAGAAGCAACGCCAAGGAGATATCAGACACAATCAAAGACAACGCTCGAGCAGTTGAGGTATGTATAGGTCGAAAATATTCAAGGTTCTTAATGCTGTAAAGCTCCTAGAGCTCCTAGAAAAAAAACTATTAAAAAATAAGGGGAACATAACGACTTTTAGGACCCTTTGGACATCTTTCTTTTGTCTAGTGGGCTTAAATCTGGGAGAGACCGCGCTCTTGGTCGAAAAGATCGGGCTGAAGTAGAATGACTTGGAATTGGAATCGACTGAAATTTCCAACCTTTAGATTATATAAAAAATCGCTAAAAACGCTTAAAATAGAAAACTTTAAATATGAAACGGTAAGTACACTTCTAGTTTTTATATAAGCTTTAGTTCCAAAACCTTAGCGAAACGTACGAAATTTTAGCACAATCTATTTACTATGGATAGCCTGTGGCTATTTGGAAAAGGGTATCGTGAATTTA